ACTGCATCCATGGGGTTGTCCCCCTGCTTCTGTACAAAAATTTCAAGCGGTAGTGTGGAGTAGGTTCGTGTCCATTGGAACGGGGATTGACACACTCTGACATTGGTTTTCAGTTAATCGATTCCCAAGTGGAAAAAAGGTGAGGGAAACGCAAGGCGAGTGAGTCGGCGACAACAGTATAGTTGAACATTGTTTGCAAGTGGCCTCGAAGTCGATCTGTACAACCGGTGCGGTGACGAGTTCAGCTGCAGGAAAGTGGTTTAGGGGAGGAAACATGTAAGGACCATGGAAACAAACCGATCGAATTGGACAGCTTGATCAAAAGTTCAGTCTCAGCAGGTACACGAGAAAGCGTCCCTTCTCGCTTCACAATCTCAAGCCACCGTCTTCGTTGGGCAGTGGATGGAATGAGATTCACTGCCCCCCTGCTGTAAGAACGATTCCGAGGTGAAAAGCCCTTAGGGACAGGGTTTGACACACACACACACACATGGCCGATAGCGGCGCACATGTGCGGGGAGTCCGCATGGCACCAATTTTTTCGTAGAAAGCGCTGGCATTCGGTGGGATCATGTCCTTTTAGGACGTATAGCCGGACTAGTTCCTCAGCTGCTGCCGTTGCTGTGGTTGATGGAAAGCTGTATGTGTAGATTGCGTGTAGACGTGAAGCAAGGCCGGATAGAGCCATTTTAGGGTTGGTTGGGTTGAATGTAGGTGAGTGTGCGTTGTGGAAGGTCAATGTTGAATCCCAGGAGATGGAAGTCTTCCACAGTGTCCAGCTCGACGGGATCGCCAAAGAAGTTGTGGTGGATGAGGGTTTGGATGGCTGGGTGGGAGAGGAAGTGTTCGTTGTGCACAATGGAGCGGTTGTCAACATATCGGTAGTAAGAGAAGTGGAGGGCTGTGTGTTGAAGGAGGTTGTTGTGGAGCTGGTGCCAAGAGTGTTCGATCAAAGTGATGGCGACGTTGCATAGGGCAGGAGAGAGTTGGGAGCCAATCCCAGCCCCTCGAATTAGTTTGTAAGTGTTGTTGCATGCCCGGAAAATACAGGTGTTGAGTGCGAAGGTGACAATGGTAGTAATGTCGGAAGTGTGGAGTGTGCGTTGTGTGGGATGCTTGGTGTAGTGCCTGCCAACGTGGGAGTGATGGAAAGGGCTGCCGGTGGCTTTGGTGTCAACCGTCAAAGTATGAGTGGACTGCTGACTTCGCCAGTGGACAGCATCGATCAGGCGGTGTTGAGGTACGGAGTTGAAGAAGCCGACAAGGTCATCGTTGGTCGCATGGAGAGTGACTTCGGTGGGAGTTTGGGTAAGGTAACAGTGGAAGTGGCGCCAAGGCTGTGGGATGGAGGCTGTGGGAAAAGGTGTTGCAGAATGATGTCAAGTGCACGGCTGGTGATGCGTAGAAGGTTGCCGCTCATGGAGTGAAAGTAAGAGATGATGGTGCGTCCTTTTTGCCATTGCTTTTTGGCTTTGAGGTGGACAACGCCATATGGGATGGTGAAGTCTTTGCGGAAGCCCCATCTGTATCGGGAGCGGAGGTGGTGCTCGTCGTTTCTTGGGTTGTGGTCGTTGTGGCGTAGGAGAAGGAGAAGTTGTATCAAGAGATGCTGGTGGTTTTGGCGGAGGTGGAGGATGAGGATGTGCTGGAGCCGAGTCGCAGGAGGAAGTGGGAGAAGGTAGAGGAATAGTGTATAGGATGGAGGTGCCGGAAGAGATGGACAAGGACGATGAAAGTGGGTGTCGACCTGTCCGGTGTGGATCAGGTAAAGGTTGTGGAGATCAGCCAGGATGTCTGTTGCTTGCTGTAGAAGGCGGTGAAGTTGCGTGAGAGCCACGGTAGTGCATTCTCTGTGTTGTTGTCCATATCTCCGAGTGATCTGTTGTCAGGACAGTGGCGGCAGCTGCAGGTCAGCGCGGCTGGCGCAAAGGCAGCGCAACTGGCATGACAGGGAGTTTCACGAGGCCACGCGCAGTGAATTACCGAGCTACGAATTTTGCGGAAGTACGATCTCAAAATCTGAATGCATCAAGATGATGAGCCCAAAGGGCTCAACTGAAAAGGACAAACATTCCATGGAACCCGGAATCCTAAGTACAGGAGGTTCTTCTGATCGCAGGTGCAACGAGAAAGGTCAACAGAGTAAACTCCACGAAAAACAGGAACAACGAGGTTTAAAAAGAAAAAGTGTTTGATCCTAACAAGTTCGGCATGAGCATCGGAAGACTATATCGATTTGCGTGCAGTGGTCTGAATTCAATGCAGCAGCTCAAAACGCCGGCGGCGCTCTGGTTTTTTCGCAGAGCGAGAGGTATGTGCTGTGGTCTGAAACAAGGTGAAAAGGTGGCCCGTGTTGGAAGGGTGAGAAAGTGAGGTAGGAGAGGATGTAGTAGTGGATGGTCAGGTTGTTGGCGGTGTTGCGTTGGCAGACCACGCTAGGCCCTTGGCGCCGTGGTGCTGCTGAAGGAGGTTCATGGTGTGTTCTTCACCACCGCTGGTGAATTTGGCGCCGGAGGACGCGAGCTTGCTCGCTGTTGTCGTGTTGTAGCTGTTGAGTGATGCGGACCCCTTGTGCGAAAAAGCCTGGGTTGTTGGGAAAGTGGAGGGCGCTGGGGAGAAAACGGCCCTGTTGTAAAATGCTGCTGATGTTGCCGACTCGGCCAATGTGGCTGGCGTTGATGTGGGCAAGTTCCGGTGAAGTGGAAGTAGCTCGTGTGGCAGGAGGTGGAAAACGGCGGTGTGCCTTTTTGCGACAAAGAGGGAATGGAAATGCAGTTGAAGTGGAACATGTCACAGCTGCTGGTGGTCTCGTTCCATTTGACGTGAGTGAATTGGCGGTAATTGCAAATGTCCTTGTAGGTGAGGCCGCTGTCAAGCAAAAGGCGAGCGACATAGGTGTGTTGGGGTTTGTTGGGTGTGTCGAATTGGTCGGTGTGATAATCCATCCATATCTCCAGTTGCTCTTGTGGGGTTTTCTGGAGAAAATATGGTGGGGCTCGCCAGGGGTTGAGGACCCTGCGAACAGCTGGAATGGTAGGGTAAGTGGATTGTGACTGGTTGGAAGTGGCATCTGGCTGAAGTGAATCGGTGTTGGGGAGAAGAGAGATGGCTGGTCTGGAACGGCTGCGTGAAGGTGATGGAGAGTAGTATGACGTGGAAGGAGAGCGTGAGCGATGATGCCGTGAAGACCTGTGTTGGTGTTTGCTTCGTGGCTGGCGGTGTGTGCGCCGACCTCTGGAATGCTTCCTGTGGTGTCGGCGACGGCGACGGCGTCGGCCGTGTTCGCGACGGCGGTGGCGCTTGGGAGGCTGTGGTTGTGGTGGAGAGGTGTTGGGATGAGCTGGAGCTGGATCAGCTGGTTGTGTAGTGTTGACCGCGTCTGAGTGGACGGATCCCGCAGGAGTGGACGGTGGTGGTGTGTTGAGTGGATGGAGGATGGCCGAGGAAATTTGCCCGGTTGTGGCTGCCATGTGAGCTGCGTCAGGAGCAGAAGGAGCGGTAGAAGTGAGGATGGAATCGCTGGTGCTGTTGTGATCGGCAAAGGTACCTCTGCGAGTGTAGCAGGTTCTGCAGGTGTTGATGCTTTGGCAGCATTGGTCGGATGGCTAGGTTGCAACACTGGTGGAAAGGCAGAGAAGGGTTGCCACCTCTCCCTTGCTGGGGATCCCATTGGATCGTCGCCGTCAGTGGTGATGAGTGGTTGGATGGTTGTGTAGTAGGAGAAAGAGTTGGTTGTGGTGGAGCAGCTGCTGGAGAAGGACAGACTGTTGGACAAGGAGTGGAGGGAAGCGGAGGCTCTGCTGGCTGTAAGGTGTAGGGAAAAGGAAAGGTGGGAGGAGGATGAGGTACAGGTGGTAGTGGTGTCGGTTGCGCTTGAAATGGAACAGTAGGCGGCCGTGATGGTTGAGGGTGAATGGTGGGAGGAGGAAAATGTGACATAGTTGTTGGTACCTGCGGTGCCATGGGAGGTAAATGTTGTGGAACTGGATATGTTGGTGCTGCTGTCGGTGGCAGCTGATGTGTAGTGTAAGGGTAAGGCCACGGAAATTGCATAGTGGTGAAATCTGTATTGCCCGTCCGCAGGAGCAGCTGGCGCTGACGCTAGCACGGCTGCAAAGATGGCGCTGAGGCAGCGTTGTCGCGGCGGGTGCTGAAAAAACAAGAACGTAGTGAAATGGAGGTGAAAAAAACGAGTTAGGGATCTGAGAACTCGGCAAAAACGTGAATCTGTGGTTGAATGAATACAATCAGTACTCAAGGCAAGTGTAGTGGAAACTCATGACTCGGTAAAAGCTTGAAAATCAAAGGCAAGCTGCAAATGCAAACTGTAAACGGTGGAAAGACAGTTGGTGCATTCCGTATAAGCCCGGCGGCTCTTAAGGCAGTTGATCCAGTGGTGAAAAGAAGTCAATTATTAAGAAAATCCAAAGAATGGTGGAGACGAAGAATCAGTTGCACGAATTCCGGAATGAGAACAGCGCCTCCTTGCGGAGGATCACACCCAGCACCCAAGCGGGACGGCTGAGCGGGTCACACTCTGACATTGGTTTTCAGTTAATCGATTCCCAAGTGGAAAAAAGGTGAGGGAAACGCAAGGCGAGTGAGTCGGCAACAACAGTATAGTTGAACATTGTTTGCAAGTGGCCTCGAAGTCGATCTGTACAATCGGTGCGGTGACGAGTTCAGCTGCAGGAAAGTGGGTTTAGGGGAGGAAACATGTAAGGACCATGGAAACAAACCGATCGAATTGGACAGCTTGATCAAAAGTTCAGTCAGCAGGTACACGAGAAAGCGTCCCTTCTCGCTTCACAATCTCAAACCACCGTCTTCGTTGGGCAGTGGATGGAATGAGATTCACTGCCCCCCTGCTGTAAGAACGATTCCGCGGTTTGACACACACACACACACACCAGCTCAGATGAAGTTGAGTGGTGGATTTGTGCATTGGAACTTCCCGAATTCCTTTTTGGATGAAAAGGCGCAGCCGGAACCGACGTGAGGTACTATCGAGACCACCTGGAACAGCATGAGCCTTTGATACGAAAAGTCGAAGAGACCTTCATGTGTCAGGCCAGGAAGGCACCAGTGACCATTCCATTCTTGTGTGACCGAATCCAAATCACGGCCATTGTGGGAAATCAAAGACGAAAGAACATGAATGCTACTGAAAAGTCACCGAAGAGACAGAGAGAGAGAGAGAGACACACACACAGAGAGGGCGGAGGGAGAGAGAAAAAACAATGAAAAAAAAAGTGCGAGACCTAGAGAGTGAGGTGTTTTTCTTCTTTCAATTGAAAACTGTTTACTTAGTTTTTCCATGTTTCAGCTCCATGAAGACCGTCCCCAGGTGCCCGACACGGGTGAGCCCATCGTGAACGTGGCGAAGCTCCGCAGCGCCCGGCCCAAGAGCCAAGGTCTCAGCCGGGCCGCGCGGATGAGGATCAAGCAAAGGCCCGAAATCTGGTGGGATGGCACCCAGGAGTTGGAGGTAACCGGGTATGTTTCTGAAGCCAGCACCTTGCAGGCAGCCAATGGTTCGTAATTAGGCGATGGTGATTATATAGCCGATGGATTTAATTAACGTGGCTTAACATGCTGGTCCAGTGGAAGGCAAAAAATAGAGGCTAGTTGCGGGAATCGTGATTCCCAGAGTGTCACAGCAGCGGCTCGAGATATGATTCGGGAGCACCTGACCTGGGCAAGCCTCGCTTGCCACAGGACACTAACTCCACCTGTCAAAGAACGTTCCGACATTCACCGAGCAAAAATTTCTGCTGCTTTGGCCACTCGGCCGAGATCGAAGGTTTGTTGGGTTTTTTTCATGTTGATTCATGTTGTTTCCAAAAAGTCGAGCAACCCAAGTTGCAGCTAGCCACGTTGGATAGATAGGCCAAACCAGTTGAGATGATTTTGCACCTTGCCTCCTTTGTGTCTCTTTCCACTTTGGTCACAAATACGCCCAGCACATTGCGGCACCAATGTTAGCATGTCGAAGGGGCAAGAACCACAGATCGGATCTGCCCAAGGTCAGGGCACAATTTCTCCATTTGGAGAGGCGGACAGAACAGGCGTGGCGGCAACAGCTGCAGCAGCATGGCGAAACTAATTAGGTCAATGGATACAGCACCAGCACGGGTCCCCCAAATGCACGTGGCTAAGTTGAACGAATGTATGTTATGTCGTCGGGCGTTTCAATGATATAATAAATGCATTTGCCGTGTTTTGGGCTCTTGCTCCTTTTGTGCATGTAAGGCATTCCCGACAGGAACGAGCTCGCAGAGAACGGCCCTGGCTGGCAGTGATGGGAGCCATAGCAGCTCTTGCAGCCATGAAGCGTGTTGTCACGGTGTGGCGTGAAGCCAAAAGCCTGGCACTCTCCGATGTGCAGTGGCGCATTCCTTTCGTGTATGGTTTGAAGGCAATTCACTTGGAAAGGCTATCGGCAAGTGCTCTGGTGATGCAGAAAGAAGAAAGGAAGCGGCAGCGCCATGAGGCCATTTGGAAGGAATGGAAGAAACTCCTGAGGACCTTGATTGTTTATGTGAAGTTCCGCTTGCCGCTAAAGAAGACCAGGTCCATCGACAAGATCAAATCCTTCATGAGAGCTTCAGCTCGACCATACATGCTCCGAAGAACTGTTAAGCACTTTGTGCAATCAGTACTCCTGGTACAAAGGGCACTGAGGCACCAGGCGCACATCTTCCGGACGGTTCAACAGCACATCTTGCAGCCTTTTGTCCCCTGGAGATTGAGGTGTTGTAAGTTGGCTTTTGTTTCCATTGAGAGAGCTATAGATCATACGTAGGAATATAGAAACCATCGGAGTTTGTTCTGTGTGTTTTCCCTTTAGTTTCCATTGTGATACCTCCTGACCTCAATTGATGCACTTGCTGATCCGACAAAGGTGCTGCGGGTTTTGGACTCTATCAACCAAGCTACAACATTATTACAACATCAGGTGCCGGAAGGCTTACTTAATGGATTGCTGTTCCATAGGTCCTTGTATATATATATATATGTGTGTGTGTGTGTGGGGAGGGAGAGAGAGAGAGAGGGCTCAGTCAGACCATGAATCCCGTCTTTGGACAGTTTCCTTTAAACCTGCCCATGTTGGGGTCATTTCTCGGTTGCCATGGGCTGTCTGTCCGGGCCGTCGGTGACAATTAACCTTCGTGTTCCGAGGTTTGGGCCACTGAAACCCAGCTCTTGTGCGATGCCTTCCGCATGCGCAAGGCCGAAGCGGCCACCCGCATCGAGGCCTACTTGGAGGAGGTGAAGCTGAAGGAATGGGAGAAGGACGGGACGGTGGGGAGGGTCCGACCAGATGGCTCGGGTCCCCCAAAAATGCAGCAGATGCATGGATTGGGGTCTTGTGGATGCCACAAGCCAGCTATACCATGTGGCCATGGTGAGCCTCAAACGATAGCCATGAGATGCCATAAGTAGCTTGGTGAGGAGGTGGATGGAGATGGTGTGTGTTCATCCTTTGACCCATGGCCTCATCATGGCCTCGGTGGCCTGAGTGGTTGAACTCTACTTCTCCTTCCTTGCCAAGAGTAATCTTGCTTTATCCCGCTTTGCTGCGATAAGGCCGGACGTCTCAGCACATCAATTCACGACAGAAGTTTTTCGACGCCATCAAAGGCCCTTGCTTTCTATGACGTAATGGGGCTTCACAACGCTTCACATGTCTGATCTGAACATTCGGGGATGCCTTGCACTTCCCCCCTAAGCGGGTCGTCATGGGTTCTTCAGTCCCACTTCAGAGAACCTACTGTAGCCATTGGCCAATGTTGAAAACGTGGCAGCTGCGCGGGGCAGAGGAAAAGGCAAACCTAGAATAGCTGGGCGCTTTGGGATCCTTCAGTGCCCTTTGGGATGCTCCAGGAGGTCAAGCTCATGTGGCTGGATCGAGCGCAGGTGTGGCGGGACGGCTCCAGACGCTTTCGGCCACAGTTGTCAAGGCACGAGGATCATCCATCAGTGCACCTGGAGGAGCGCGCTCAATGCATCAACAGCCATGTGTCAAGTTTCACTATCTCAAGATCTCAAGAGTGTCTTGTGGAAGTTTTTTGCATGTGGTCATGTTTTTCCGCCTGCCCTCGTTCAAGCAACCCTGCTCTTCCTGAGCAAAGTAGGTTTTTTGATTGGAACATATTGGAACTAGTTTACGTCCCACCATTCCAACATGTCGCACCACGGTTGTCCAAGTTTCTTCAAAGGTCAGATGACACGTGGCCTTCAGGAGGATCATATTCGGCACGTGGCTTCTGCTCCTGCCCGCATGCACAACAGACCAACTGGCCGCGGCTCCCAGTTGCAGAAGACTCTGGACATGATCCAGCCACAAGGGCATGGAAGGAAAACTTTCAGCCTGAGGACAGGTATGGGCCGGTTTGGTGTTTCAGGTTGGCACACCTTGCTTGATAGAATCCCAAGTTGCGCAGGAAAAGTGATTGTGCCAGATCCCATGCCAAAGCCGAGTGGTTTCAGCCAGTTTCATAATTTTCTGTTCAATCAATTTTGTCGTCATCGATATCCGCTAGCCTGTTTGGCTACTGCAAAGACCATGAACGTGGAATATGTACAACATTATAAGATATGAAAGGTATCAATGCGCATATGCCTGCAGCGACTGAGTATGTTGGACTTTGATGTGAAAAAGAAAGATGCCCGTCGAATTGTCTATGTGGGAGGAAATCCTTGCACGGCCGGAACTTCTTGGTGATGGATACGCTGAGAATGGACCCTCGAGATGCCGAGGAAATCACCAGACAGATGCTCTTGAACAGCGTTGATGCCTGGTGGTCTCAGTACAGAAGCTTGAATAGGGGAAGGTTGTGTGGGGTGCGTGGGGGCTCTAGGCAGAGTGCAAACCTGGGCAATCCGTGTGCTCACCATGCACGAAGGAAAGCTAAATCAAAGAATCTAAGACCAATTTGGTTCCAGGGCATCCACTTGCTTGAGTGCTGGCAGGGTCCAAATCTACCCAGCAAGCCGCAATTTGTGGCTGCATCCAGAAACAGAAGCACTCACAAGAAACCTAGCGATCCTGCTAGGAACCTACCGTTCGGCAGAAGAGCTGTCCAAACAGAACTGGATCAACTGGCGCCAAGATGTGCTTCGCCGCCCCGATGCGTTGATTTGGGATGCGCCTGAGGCGCGGGCCTGGTCTTCAGAAATCAAGGGATAAGATGATAAGATTGACCAGAAATTGCAGGATACACAAGAATTATGTAAACATCATAAACAAAACTCAGGAAATCCCATTCTCTACCATTCTGCATCCACCGAACACCTGCATATGGCAAATGGGGTGGCATGTCTTGGCTTTTCAGAGGGTTTTGGAAGGCTCCTTTCCTCCACAAACAGGGGAGCTTTCCTACTTCCAACTTCCATGTTTGTTTAAGGAGGGATTTGGATAAGGTTGGACATTTTCAGTGTATGGATGCTACACATTGAACATTTTGAGCCAGTGTGTTTGAGTTCTTTTGGCCATGACGGGCCTTGCGAACAGCCATCCACGAAAGAATCACCTCTCACTTCACTGACCTACTTGTTTTGATGGGGCAACCAGTGGAGGTTGGGAGGTGCGACAAGGGGAGTTCTTGAGACAACTAGAGGGAAGATGTCCAAGGACGATCAGTAAACAGGGGGTGGCCGCAGTGAACAAGTTTCTGTCACTTGCTGCTTTGCTTCGAGCCAGGTCTTGAAGTATCCCGAGATGTCCTTCTCCGCCCAGGGCTACCAATGGCTTCACAAAGAAGTTGAGAATCGCCTGAGAGAAAGGCCGGAATTCCGGAGCCTCATTGGCGAGGGCTTTTAAGATGGCTCGAATGCCGGAGTAGCTAGAGCGAAGGCCCGTTGTTTCTATTTTTTTGGGGGGGTCCTAACTCAACCATTGGCGTCATGTTTGGATGGCTCGTTGCATGCCACCCATATTTTGGGTGGTTCTACGGCCTGAGGGCCTGGAGCTCAACAAGAGTTCACGCGGTTGTGAGAAAATTTGCAGTATCATTGATATGGGCTGTGGCCCTTGGCTGCCGGCTACAACCAGCCCTGCACAACACAAACAAGCATGGTCAATCACATACTGACATACTGTTTTGATTGCACATCCATTGCAGTCGTCTCACTTGAAATAGTCGTCTCCTAGATGCCCTTCTCCTTGCGGAGACTCGCGAATGCGGTGGGAAAATGATTTTCGGCCTTTGGGATATTAAGGCGCCATGAGGTGCTTGCTTGCAGATGTTGGTTGCTGCATCCTTTTGTTGCGAAGCAACTGGCCCCATTTTGCCAGCAACCGGCTGCAGGACGGAAAGCCCACTGGCCCTTTTAGCGCCTCTGCTGCCAATGCAAAGGGCGACCACACTGGATCTAGAGCCTTGGCCATCATATAGAGAGAGAGAGAGGGAGAGAGAGCGCGCGCCGAATCTTCATCGAACACCATTTGCATTTGACGGAGTGGTGTCCACGGTGTCCAACAAGCTGCAGCGATCGTCTTAGCCAACTGCTACATGCGAGATTTTGACAAGGCACATCAGACACATCAAGGTGCTATGTTAGACAGTAGAGCTACACGCTCGTCGTTGCCCCAGGCATGTTTGGCAGCTGGCTTCGACACTTGCCTTCACAATTGAGATATGATGAAAGAAGCCCAGGAAAGTCCCACATGCCCAGTTATCCGCAGCTAGACCGACCTTTCAAAGGCAAAAGCATGGGCAGAGTTTTCGAAACCAACCCAAACCTGACCTACTCAGGTGACAACTGCATTATTGCTTGGGGTCTCTTCTACACGGACCCAGAGGCTATTCAAGCTGGAGTGTTGAGGGGCATTCATGACGCTGGCCTGTTAGTGGTATTTATACGGTATAATATATTCATTGGGGAACATGTTGCTATTCGGTTCAAGCAAAGCCGCATCGCTGCATCGCTCACCGGATGGGCGAGGTGCTAGATAGAGCAGCCTTCGTTTCTTCTGAGCTGATCTTCCATGGGTTCAATGAATAGCTGTTTTGGGTGAGAAGCAGATATAGTTAGCAAACAATCAGACCAATTACGTTGTTTTGAAAACAATGTTTCAAAGTTCAATAGTGTAAACAGTGATGTTGGATGAATTTGATGGCCTGCCCGAGTTGAGCTGAAAGACTCGCAGACGCAAGAAAGCAGGTAGCTGTCCCTGGCTGTCCCTTAGACATCGTGAATTCGTGTAAATTCACCATAACAAGAAGTCAGACACCACACCCAATTATACTCGCAACGGACCATGTATGGATGAAGCAATTACTGGCTGCTTGAAGCTGAAGCTGGGTCCATGCCTGCTTGTTCTATGAGCCAGACACTAGACGACAGACGACGGCAGATCCATATATAGACATTTGCCTCACGTAATAACTTAAGCTCATTCAATGCAAGCTCCCTTTTTTCATTGCTGATGACGCGCTACGGTCATTTACGTTCCAGTGTTCAAGCCCTTCAAGCCCCAACAGCACAGCATCATGAGCTGATGAGCCGAGTGTTGTCCAATGTGAGCCGTCACGTTTCGCGAGGGTCCTGGGGCTGACGACGCTGTTGCATGCCTCAACTCCATCGCGAAGTTTCTCCTGACCTTTGGACTGGTGTAAAGTATAGCCCTTGGGAATGGGGGCTAGTGCAACACCCATGCAGATTTGGGATTGCGTCCGTGCTTGTGGGTTGCCAAAGCGGGTGTCAAGCATGTTTGACCGTCTTACAACTGTAGAAGGACTAGAGATGTCTTGTCAGCCGCAGCCCGAGGCTTGCACAAGTTGCTTTCGCATTGAACTCACGAACTTGATTGGTCTCAGGACCTATCAGAGTCACAAGATGGAGCTGGTCATCAACGGCCTCAAGGACATGTGGCCGACGTGGATGTTCGGCCGAGCAGAGCTTCAACGGTGTCAGGTGCATCCTCAACGGTGTCAGGTGCATCCTCTTCAGGTGAATCTGTTGCCCAACGGGCTATCCATGGTGCCTTCTACATGGTGCCTTCCCAGTCGGGTAGTTACTCTCCTCTTCAGTCCAGACTTCAGGATGTCAAGGGCCCAGAGAAGACTTGGATGGATCGCCCCTTGATTGCTGTTCGGGAAAGTGCCATGGGCGAGGAGCAGGCATAAGAAGCTACAGAAACACAATGAAACACATCAACCCCTTCAGATTATTCCAGACTTCACGCTATATACTCACTGAAAATCACACCGCAATATACCGCAATTTCGGGCGGCGGTTTTTGTGCTTTGCGGTTGACGTTCTCATGCAAGTTGCTGGATTCCGCATTTGACAGCACGTGCATGGCTATGATTGAGGCCCGCACATCCGCTTCATTGGCGAGACTGGACTTGAGGATCCGAAGTGGTGCCCCAGAAGTGAAACACAACATGCAGAGCTGTGAACATCATAATCATAATATCATTGGTGATGTGATGTGCGCCCGCCTGGCTTGCGATTGAGAGAGGTCGAGAAGTGCGAAGTATCCGCAAACTCGATTCCTACATTCATGTGAGGGACTTTTGAACTTTTGCTTTTGAGTGAGGCACGCTCCAGTCTAAAACCACGACGCAGATTCCTTCGCGTTGCGTACGACCTAGGGATGCAAAACGGTTTTGGACCATTGGAGCTCGGGGTTTGGACGGGTGGCTCCAACTCCTTTGCTCTTCTGGATGCAAGGTACAACCACAAGCAGAATGATGCCCTGGGCTATTTCATGTGGGTTAGGATCCTCAGCTGTTCCAAGCATGGTCGACTTGTTTCGACCCACTGGGTGCAGGGTTGGCGCACTGAGGCACGCACGCAACTGGCCTGGCATAAGAAGTTGCCCTTCAACGGGGAGCACCTGAAGCTTATGGGTCAGGCCGGGCCAAGCTTCTTTGCCTTCGCACGTGGCAGCGCTTTGTAGGAACCAAGAACTGGTTGATCACGCTGAAGAGTTCAGGGTAATTCGATGTAATTCGTGGGTGTTTGATCGGCATGGGACGTTGATGGAAGTCGGATACGTAGACATAGAGGTTCGACTCTCCAACTTTGACACTTGTTGGAAATTCACCCAGGATGTGCAAGGGCTTCATCTCTCTCTCTCCCCCTAAAAACATGTCTATTAAAGCCAATGTTTTGCACGGTGATTTCATGAGAGTTCATGGGCATTTGTCCATGCCGTGAGACACGCGGTTTGCCGCACTTCGCCTCATGAGACTGGCTCAAGTGTGGAGGATGAGCATGTGGATGCTTTCAGTTTTCTTCTCATGCGCTGGAGAGTTGGGGTGATCTTCTTCTGTTTGGCCGGCTTCTTTGTGTGGCTGAACATCACTGCACTTTACCAGGAGAAGCTCCACGTGACAGATGAGAGCAGGAAAGTTCCTGAACGAATACTGGTCAATGGAATCACTCCTGTCAAGAGCAATGCAACTTTAGCTCATCCAAAGGCCTGGCATGCTTGGCAAAATCCAGTGGTTCGATATTTTCAATGAAAGGTTGAAGAGGCAGCTGCAAGAAATGCAGAAGTTGTTTTCTCACAATGGTGCTAGGGCTGCTAGGGTTCCTGGGCTCGTGGTTGTTCAGGCCGTTGGAATCACCCCGGTCAAGAGCAATGCAACTCTGGCTCCTTGGAAGGCCTGGCATGCTTAACAAAATCCCAATTGTTGTACTGCAATTGAAATGTCCAGGAGGCTGCCGTAGGAGAAAAACACAACATGGAGTTGCTTTCTGTGACCTGCGGCCCAGGCTGAAATGATTGAAAGGATGAGAGCTGCAAGATCCACCACACTTTTATCTTGCAGAAGAGACCCAGCTGCCGCTTTTTACATTTCGCCGGACTTCACGTGCCAAAATCCGGCAAAGGTCGACCACTTTGGCAAAGCACCGTGGACTGCCAACTTGGTCAACAACCCGGCCGAGCCCGCATGCTGGGACCAAAGCAACTTGTGTGCGCCCTTCTCGTGTTTCCCTGGTTGCACCTTGCTACACTGGAGTTGATTTCTGGGCGTGCTTGAGTCCCCCGCAAATAGTGTACATCAAATCCCAACGTTCTCCCTTCTTCCGTATTTTGTTTGCTTGCTAGAATTGGGACCAGATCTAGCCGCGAATTTAGCCTTGCACGGTGCCCTTGGTCTATTCCATATCTTTTTTTTGGTTTGGCCACCTGCCTCAGCCAAGGCATGAACAAGGATTTCAGTTTTATACGCCAGTATTGGGAGCCTGTCAAGGCCGGCTCCACCAAAGTCATGGTCTTCCAGTACGGAAAGGTCGCATCCACGGCAGTCGTCAAGGGCCTAAAGGTGTACTCCAAACTCGCACCGGCCCATGCACACACTGCAGAGCAAGCCAAGGGTTGGCTATCTGGACAGGCCACAGGCATTCCCTGGGAGCAACAAGGCTTTGCTCTCTCACAGGATCGGGTGCAAAAACACACTGGCGGCATGATGTCCAGCACCATAAACGGGTTTGGTTTCCACATAGGCTCGAGATAGTTCGGCATTATGCTAGCAAGCACCTTACATCATGCTAGTCAGCTAGTCCACAACTGTTTTTTTCTTGAGATCCTGAACCGGCTGCAGATGGTTCCGGCAACCAAGGAACTCCATGACGGGTTGGTTTGTGCCGATGTCTCGCAGGAGTGGTCTTTGTATCCCAAGGATCGGTGTTTCATCCTGACCGCGTCGCGGAGCCACTTCAGCCGTGATCCCTCCGAGTATTTTGAGAACGTTTTGACCCCAGCTCATCCGTACGGCTTTCATCCGCGCGGGGCGACACGGTTTCAGGACACGGAGCCTGGACCAAACAGTGCAAGATGGACACAGGCAAAAGTGATATCGCTTGGGCGCGAGAATGCCTCCATTCTGGTGGAGGATTTTCGGGCGCAACATGGAATGGTTTTGGAGTACTATTCCAAATGGTTTACCCAAACTTTCAAAGAGACCACCGGCATTGACGTCCTTTCAGTTCCGTTTGATTTTGAAAAGAAACGTGTGGTCGTCCAGGGTGCCAGGTGCACTGCAATTGCCTTGCGATACGAAGACACAGACATGTGGGAAGGCATTTTGCAAGAGTTCTTTCCTGACTTCCGCATGACCAGTTCCAACAAAGGCGGAGCGAAATGGTATTCTGAGGCTTATGGAAACTTCAAAAAGCTGCTGACCTACAGCGATGATGAGTTGACTGCCATTTGTGCCACTGAAACGGAACGACACTTTTATCAGCAAGAATCTAAATCCAAGTGCTCCAAATAGATGATCTTTATCATGTCCATGATTCACCCGTCCGCTTATGAACGCACACATGAGATGGTCGAGTTGAGTGAAGCTGCTCTCGAATGCTCTCGCCGGCTTCTGTGGAGAGACTGTCGGTTGGAAGTCCAGCTCCCAATTTGGAGGTCGCCACAGTCGGAGGTCCTTGATTGATGTTGGTCGCATGCGAGCAAAAGCTGTGAGTGTGACGCGGATGCAGGCAAGAAGTGTTGTGACCGGGCTATTACCAGTGAAAATGCCTCACTTAGATTCGTTCAAAGTTTGCCTTGCCTGCTAATGTATGCATGTGACAATCGGCAGTTGTACCTCTTGCACAATGTGGATTGATGTGACTCATCGTAGGACGAAATGCATTGACATCATAGTCATAGTTTTTGGCCACATCAGGCATCGGGCATGGAACTGTTCCCACATGTTCCCACCACCCTTTTTGAAAGAGCTTCTGTTTTCACCCCTCCATCAGCCAAGCTTGCCGCTGTTTTGCACACCTTAGCGCTGCGATGCAGGGGGCATGAGGTTTTGCAGAAAAACAGAAAAACTACCACTTGACATCGCGATGTTCATTTTCAATTTGGCCATTCAGGCATTGCAAAGAGGTCTTGTTGGACTGGCAGGGCCCCTTGTCACCCATGATTACCTGCCCTGACAGACAGTTTCATTCATTGTGTTCATTGTTCTGTCCATGCCTGGCCCACCCACAGTGGCGCACGACTCGACTCTCAGTGCTGCAGAGAGAGAGAGAGAGAGAGAGCGAGCTTCACCCCGCCACAGCTCTTCGACTACTTGCGCGCGATTGAGTCTTGGGCAGACTTGGATGGAGGCCAGACATATTGATCCTGTTTCTCTGCTCTAATTCAATTGTTGGCTTTTGCAGTTCGAGTCCGGCCATACTTTTGTGTGCAGCTGACCTCTTTGAAGTAATGATTAAAGAGGCCTCGAATCTGACACCTTCCTTGTGTCCATTGTCTTTGGCATCGAAACAAAATACTACTATCAACTACTATTTGTAAGGTAAAATGATAATATGTACATAAATATGTTATAACATATATTTTTTATAGGTTGAGAAAATTGTCTATGGGCCATCTCTCTCTCTCTATATATATCTACCATGCATTTGCGCTGTGGAACATCCACAGCCTGAGCACCCAAAAGACGCCAAGCGGAGGTCATTGGGAGGAGCATTCTGCCATCCATGCATCTTCCATTGGGCCTTGACCTCAATGAACACACCAGATACACCAGGGCCTTGGACCGAGATCCCAACGAATGGGTGAAGCAGGGCCGAGCCATGGGCATTTCCGGCCGCACCGTCTGCGCCTGCAGCAAGGCCACCGTTAGCAGCGGTGAAGCTTTTCACGAAGGCACCGCTTTTGAGAGATGTTTGGCGGCGTGAAAGGGATCATTGACCAAAGCAACCGAAAACCGTGACAGGATACCCCGGCAGAGCGATTACCACAAGTCCAAAAGGGGCAAGAAACATCATTCTGGATTTTGTTGCGGGGGCTTGTGGTTGTTTTTGAGTTTCATAAGCACCTTGATTCATATAAGTACAAGTTTTGCTTTATGATTGCCCAGCATGCTCACACATGCTGCCAGTGGTGGCAAATCACCCAGGCTTGTGCATAGTATTTAATGTGCTGATATCCGGGGTTTCATTTCATTGACACGAGAAAACTGTTTTCAATGCATACAAGCTATATACAAGCTCTACTCTTCCTTTTTGATTGTTGCTCGACACCCTTTGGTTCCATCCCCTCCAATTATGATGCTTGTTTGCCCCCTTATCGGCATGTGTTCTCCGCTTTGACAGGTGGCTGCCAGGGACGGCTTCTTGCCCCCCTGCAAATCCGACACCTTGGAGGTCCTTGAAAAGAATCTGCAGGCTGGCTGAGATGTCACAGTTTGGCAGCTTTGAAGCACGTGGCTGAGCGAAACACAGTCTGACATCACGTGACAGAAATGTGAAGCATGTTTGGACCCTTCTCTCCAGACATACTTTGACCATACTTCATGCCACACATACGGAAAGCACATCGGATGCGACGTGCTTTCCGCATCTTTCCGCTTTGAAAATCGGATGTCGGATGCGGAGAACAGCGCCTGGCTGCAGGCGGCCTTGTTGAAGATCCTTCCGGGGGCCGACTGGCCGCACCAGAGAGGGCACCGCTGGGCAACGCGCTTCCTTACATCATTTTGTAATTGTACACTTGCTGCACATGAGTCTTCCCTGTAGAGGTCTAGATTAGATACAATATTTGATACAACAATTCTCCAGCACATCTCCATCATGGGAATTTGATGTAATTTGTTTTTCTATCCTTGTGGGGTCGGTGCTGCAGTTCTCCTCTGATGCTTGGACCCTACAATCGCGAAGCTGAGGGAGAGGGCCGGACAAGTGGCTAGAATCAAATGCCCGCAAGAAGCTTTGCCCAACTACTAAAACCTTGGGATGTTTCCACGTGATTGATAGGTTATATAGGAATAATTGCTTATACAATCTTATACACTTATACACTTCGTAAATTTCTAGCTGATTATTCAGTCGTGAGCACTAGTGAGAGCGGATGTGATTGTTAGAAAGCGTGAAAAGGTCCAGGAGCGTGGACCACTCCCATGTCTTCACTTCATGCCTCCACGCAAAAGGTTCCACAATGGTAGTCCACGGTGTTCCGTGTAGGACGCCGAGGTATCCTTTCTAAACACGTGGACGCGGCGTCCGCTATAATGTTTAAATCTCCCCTGGGGTATCGACGGTTTCGGACGCCGCTCGGATCGACGGATCGGATCCGTCGAGGAGATTACTTTTCCTGCTGAGCTGGCCAGAGATGCGGATGCAGCGGCGGTCTTCTTGGCATATCCCTTGGAGGTCAGAGAATGGAGAGGATGGAGAGGGGAAGGGAGAGAAATGGTGATGAACATCAGAAAAAGATGAAACGAGTAATTAGGATGCTGGAATTAGGGCCAAGGAATGCCAAGGACCCATCATCAGTTCTAGCTAGTGGGTTTGTGGGTCTCATGAATTTGTTTCTTTTAGACCTAATGATGTGATATGAATTGATATGATATCCCATGCCTGTTGGGATCGATCCTCAGCCTTCGGGTTGGTGAGTCCTAGCTGGGGATCGATCCTCCTTCCTTTGTGGTCAGTCATATAGTACCTTGGTGATCCGGAGAGTTCCAGCAAGTGTTGGTCGACATAGCCACGACACAGATCGACGAAGCGATAGTCACGCTGTGCTTCCTTTCGTGCGGAACACACCGGTGGTTCGATGTGTAGGGCCCCTACAATCCTGCAAGTCACTCATCCGAATTTGGCCAAGACCGGCCAGGTAGGAGCAAGGACGCTACTAGTGGCTCCTGGCCTTACTACTAGGAGCAAGAAGCTACTAGGGGCTCCTGGCCTTACTACTAGGAGCAAAGGGCATCGCTACTAGGAGCAAGGACGCTATCCAGGTCCATCCGCTGTGTCACATCCGCTCCATGGACGGCCGAGAGGTCGTAGACGACCAACTGGGACTTCAGATCATGGAGCGCCTCACAAAGGCAGATGACGTGGGAGGGCGGGGAGGGCCGGGCGGCGGGGGGTTGACCAAACGAGAAAGAAAGGGCTCTTTTTGAGCCTTCCACAACAATGGCGTTGGAACCAGTTGTGTCACATGTTTTATAATGTGTCCAATTGCGTCACGTTGGATGTTTGAGGATGATTTAGGTCATTGACTTTGAGGAGTGGCATCCATGAGACACCGTTTTTCTGCCAGGTCATGGGCCATATTGGCATGTGCCGTTACAGAAAGGACCGGTTTCATGCAAATTATTGCACCAACAAATGCCACCAACATCATGCCTTTGGTGATTGAGTTGAACCAGTCACAGCTCGCAGGATAGCTATTGGTGCAAGGACAGGCTGATAGACGTGTTGACTTGTTGGGAGCTAAAGCTTGCTGAGCCTTGCAAGCTAAGCTTTTGAAAGGTTGCACTTACCCAAGCTCCCTAATTATATAGTTTGCATATGTTTGCATATGTTTGCATGTCATTGACTCACCGCATCTGAGGCTGCTTTAGCCATTCTCATTTGTGTTTTAGCAGCTAGAGCTCCTTTGGCAACTGGCCTTGAGGAAGAGCACAGAGGTGCACATGAATGACTTTCCAAGCAAGCTGGCAGTTGACATGTTGTGCTGGAAGCCAGGACTACAAAGACAAGGTTGGAGATGATCCGACCAAACACTTCACAGATGAAGAACTGAAGGAACGGGACAGGCACGTGGAGCTGTTTGGTATTGGGATGTTGTGGGCATTGGTTTTTATATGGTTCTATACATTTGTTGCTTCTTTTCGACACGCCTTAGTAGGCATGTCAATGTGGTTCTAGCGGCCCAAAGAAGCACCGGCTGATATCACCTCCAGCCGTACCATGCAACGGCCGTACTGTGATGCAGCTGCTGTGGGCAGTGTCCTGGATACCTCCAGTACTGGGTGTCGAATGTGTTCAAGATAAAGAGACATGGGATTATGTGCGTTATCTCGATGAAGTCTCCGCTGTTAGTCCCTTGCCGCGTGAGGGGCGGGAGCTGCTTTATGAGCTTTTCAAAACCTATGGCTCCCAGCAAGTAAACTGTGCCACTGGCATGGCCGTTGTGATGCTCCACTCTTTGAGCTACATTGATCGTGACTATGGTGAAGTCAAGGCTTTAGAGGTCTACCAAGCTGCAGCCAAGTTGGCGAATCAAAGCGCCACCGACCACACTGAAGGCCAGTGGATAGTGAATCTTTCCTGGCATGAGGCGGCTCCCAAACTCTTGGGTTTGGATCCCCCTGCAGACGCGGAGATTTGCTCACAGCCAGGCCATCCTCAATTCTTTGTTTATGCGACGGAGGAGTTTTATCGGAGACCCTTGTTGTTATGCGCTACAGGTATGGAGGGCTCCGAGGTCCTTTTGCACCGCTGGCTTTTGCGCAGCAAGTGCCGAAGCAGCTTTGAAACGGCCAACTTTTTCTACGTGCCTTTTTATTCCTTTTGCTTTCAGAATTTGCACATTGAACCGGGCAGTGAGACTGAAGAGCTTGACAAGCACAACATTAGGCTCGTTCAGTCCCTTGAGCACTTTGACGTATACCGTCGGAGGCAGCACATCTTCCATTTTGCCCACGAGTTCTGGGACTTCCCATCTTGGGAGGCACATGTAGCCAGGTCGAAAATTCTTGCAGTTGAAGCAAACCCGCTCATCGATGTAATCCAATACCGGCATTGCACCACTTGCTTCGATTATTGGAAGGATGTGGTTGTCCCAGGGCACACTGATGTTTGGGCTATGCGGCGTTTGCGGGAACAGAGTCAACCTGTTGAAGACCGACGGTATTTATTCTGCTTCCATGGTGCTCTTCGTCACGAACTCTACGAAAAGACCCATGCGGAAGGTTACAACACCAGTGCCGCAGAGACACGCCGACAGATCCAAGCACTCGCTGGTGAGTCTGATGCAAGCATCGGCCCACACATCACACCATTGCTGGACTACTACAAGCGGGTTGGAGATTGCCGCTTCTGCTTGGTTCCCAAAGGTGTAGGGTTCACCAATGGGCGTCTCTATGAGGCATTCTTTGCGGGCTGCATCCCAGTGATTCTTTCGGATGCTATGGCGCTTCCATTTTCCTTTCTGCCTTGGTCAAAGTTTAGCTTGAAACTCCCCATGGGCGATGTGCCTGGAGCGGTGGCGCGCTTGCGATCGATGCCAATGTCGCAGCAAAGAGCCATGCAAGACCAATTGCTACGGCATGCCTGCTGGTTTGACTACTACTCCAGCAACCCTGCTTGCTCTCCGTATCAGGGCCTTCTTCGAGTTCTCCAGATGCAAAGCCGAGCACATGCGGGCCGTATGGGTCTGTGAACATATTGCAACCTCGAGCAGACCCACCTGCGAGGCTGCGAGGATGCGCTTTCGGACGTGCACGTCGCCTCTTCGGACGTGGTCGGTCGGTGACGTGGCCACGTGGGCCTGGATCTCCACAGCGACATGGTGCAGCGAAAAATGGTTGATTATGTTTGAATTGACTGATTCCTTTTCAGTCATTGTTCTTAATTAATTGTTCTTATGACAAGGAAGATGTGCAGTAATGAAGTACAATGCATGTGCCATGAAGAGGAGCAAACGTGCCCTAGCCTCAAAATCGTGAATCAATTGGTTTGCCTGAGCATCAATGCCCAAATGGAAAGTGCTTGACCGCTGCCAGCACTGCTAGGCTCCTTCAAGAGGGAGAAGAAGCGCAGTGGTGTCTTTTTGATCCGCCTCCTGACCCCAAACCGTTTGGACTTGTACACACTTCTTGTTTTTGTTTGCTCCCTTGTTCTGCAACAGTCCTCACACAGCCTGAGATGATGAGCTTGAGTCTGGAGTATGGAAGTTTGATGAAGTTTGTTTCCTTTTGAGCCAACCAAAATAGTTGATCATTGTTGCCCAGGTAAGCAAGTCATACCAGAACAGTGTGGCTAGTCAAGATGCACATGGCCATTTTATGGCAATTTTCTGTTATACTAAGTTATACTATGTTTTACTATTTTACAAACTCACATATTTGCATGTATTATTTGCCAGCATTGTATTCGACATCCATAAATACTTGTTACTTGTTACCGTGCTTTGGAGGTACTGTTTGCATCAGACGCTCCCACAGCTGAGGATGGTTAGCGCCTTCTATGGCCGCATGTACCAGAAGACCCAGGACGAAAAAACCAGGCAGCATCAGGCTAATACCAGAGAATTGAATTATTTCAAAAAACGTCAAGAGTGGTGTTCACAAGCACCATACAGCACACTCTGACATTGGTTTTCAGTTATGCAATTCCCAGGTGGAAGGAAGGTGAGAGAACCGCAAGGTGAAAAGGTCAGCGCAACTGAATTGTTTAACAATCTGTTCACTCATCTGCAGAAACGCGGCTGAACGACGGCGGCTGAAGGCAGTGGTGGGAAACCTGTTTGTGGGGAAAGTATCGTGAGCAACAACCATGGCACCAAAACACAGGAAGGAAAAGTGGAGTAGTGTCACAGCGCAGGTACACACAGTTGATCAGATTGTGCATCCACCGAACAAGCATAGCTTTGTTAGCCAGCGTTTGCTTGTCGGCCGCTGGCCCCCTACTTGAGAACATATATCCAAAAACGGAAGGGGAGGACCCTTAGAAACAGGGCTTGACACACACACGCACACATGGCCGTTTTCGGCGCATATGTGTTTAGGTTCCCACGATGGCTCTGATTTTCCGCAGAAAACGCTGGCACTCTGTGGCGTTGTGTCCCTTTAGGGCATAGAGTCGAAGTGAGATGGAGAATACGGCATGCAGTTGAACAAGCTCGTGAAGAAGGTGGTGAGGTAGAACATGTCCGATCGCAAAAAAGCCGATTGTGGTGGAACATGGGACACTGTAGATGCTTGAAAGTCAAAGCGAGCTGCAAAAAACACACAAAGTCGTGCAATCAAATGCGTTTGTCCGTACAAGCCCGGCGGCTGTTGAAGCAGTCAATCCAGTAGTGAAAAGTGGTCAGTTAAGAGAATCCAAGGAGTGGTGGAAAGGGAAAATCCGTTACACGATTTCCAGCATGAGTTCAGCGCCCCAGTGACGGGGATCACACCCAGCACCCAAGTGGGACGACTAAGCGGTTCACACTCTGACATTGGTTTTCAGTTATGCAATTCCCAGGTGGAAGGAAGGTGAGAGAACCGCAAGGTGAAAAGGTCAGCGCAACTGAATTGTTTAACGATCTGTTCACTCATCTGCAGAAACGCGGCTGAACGACGGCGGCTGAAGGCAGTGGTGGGAAACCTGTTTGTGGGGAAAGTATCGTGAGCAACAAACATGGCACCAAAGCACAGGAAGGAAAAGTGGAGTAGTGTCACAGCGCAGGTACACACAGTTGATCAGACTGTGCATCCACCGAACAAGCATAGCTTTGTTAGCCAGCGTTTGCTTGTCGGCCGCTGGCCCCTGCTTGAGAACATATATCCAAAAACGGAAGGGGAGGGCCCTCAGAAGCAGGGCTTGACACACACACACACACAGGTACTAAGGTATTATATGGTATTATAGTACTGTTGCTTGAATGAATTTTTGGATCCTTCAACGAAGAGATTGGCGTTTGGGTCATGGTTTGTTTCAATCAAAAGATTCCAGTACAATGTCCCATGCGTTCCTTGAATCTGCGGGATGAGAGTGGAGCCGGGTGCTCCAGCAGGATGCGCAGTATTTGAAGCTCCAGCAGCTTTTTCTGGCCAGGCAGGGGTAATTAAGAATAAAGGATTTGATCCACTTTGATTCCAGCTGAGAGGTGTGTGAGCATTTTGGCTCAGAGACAGAATGGCATCGATTGCATTGAGTGTCAAGTATTTGTTGGAAGAGTTTCGCACTGTTTTAGGGTGTCAGAAGGCCGCGGTGATAATTCGCACACATTCCGCCCCACCCATTTTGAGCATCATCCCGTTTCACTTGGGCAGCGCCATTTGCTTTGTGATTGAGGTCTTTGGCGGCCATTACAGGAGATGACTGCCCCTATGGTCCATGGCACTGTGCAGAGGAGCGGGGCCGCTCCAAATCTCAAGACCCACTTCTGGAAGAGTCATTGCTGTGTTGTTTTCCTTGTAGACCCTTAGGCTCAGACGTTTTCTGTTCGCTTTTTGCCTTCCTTCCTTCCCTCCGATTCCCTCCTGCTTTCCGACCGATGAATAATGTGGTCGGGGGTTCCGCGCTTGTAATGATTGTAATTTGTTTTTGTCGGGTATTTGGTCAGGGACGATCCAATGACTTTTCTGAAAACCATGGGGCTAATTGACAAGTTGACATACAGGCTTGGGGTTTCTTTTGTTTTTCTTTGGTGGTGTTGGGAAGGCAATTCTTCAGGTAGCTGGAGCTTCAACCCTTTGGTTCCTTGAATTGTTTGCTGGCAAGCCCCGCACTTGCCTTGGTTGGGCGGAGGCGTATTACTTGGAGAAGGACCGATGGGTGCCAAATGATGACACACCGTTGGTTTGGACACAGATGCCTGGCTGTCGAACGGGGAGCTGAACGGCAGACGTGGATGGCATTTGGTGTCGGCATGTGGTCGAAACAATTGCTTATTAGCTTATAGCTTGGCTTTGGGACAGCAGAGTGCGTGGACCTTCTGTCATGTGCGGGGGATGAAGTGCTTGTCGACCGACATATGGCTATAGAGTGGGCGACAATGTTCACGCACTCCAGGATACGCATCCGCATGCTTCCTGCTTCAAACGCCAATTTGTTGAGTGCCAAGTGACGTGCTCACCCAGCAAGAAGTCATAACAAAGGCAATTATATATATAGTACTGTACAAATTTGCAGGGCTGTGCACAAGCCCGCACCGGCCCCGAGTGGCCCTAACAACATGCAGCAAGCGGTTGATTTCGGCCGAAAGGTTTGGCCAAGAGGCCCGCGCAATCACAAAGTCCTGTACCCCTGGTGGGTCCCCCAACCCAAACCTCGAGAACCAAGGCTTTTCTTTAGGAGCTCCTTTTGTCTGAGGATCGACCTCAAGATGGCCTTGTTTGAGATGGAGAGGAGTTTGAACGTGCTCAACTGATGAAAGCCACCAAGCGCTTTGGTGGCTTGAGCCAATCTTTCTGACAGTATGATGGACATGTACGGACATCCAGCTTTCATGGCAATGAATGAATGTAACCTCTTCGGCACCAAAGCAATCGCAGAGCGAGTGATGACGGAACTCATATTTTTCTAGGAATTTTTTCGTTTTTTTTTTGATGTTTTTTCACGTTTAGGCATTAGGTATCTCTGTTGGCTTCTGGTGGCTTCTGGTAGCTTTTGCTAGCTTCTGTTGGCTTTTGCTGGCTTCCGGTGGCTTTTACTGGCTTTTGGTGGCTTTTGTTGGCTTCTGTTGGATTTTGATGGCTTCTGGTGGCTTCTGGTGGCTTTTGGTGGCTTTTGGTGGCTTCTGGTGGCTATTTTGTTGGCTTCTGGTGGCTATTTTGTTGGCTTCTGGTGGCTTTTGGTGGCTTCTGGTAGCTTTTGCTAGCTTCTGTTGGCTTTTGCTGGCTTTTGTTGGCTTCTGGTGGCTTCTGGTAGCTTTTGCTAGCTTCTGGCGGCTTTTGCTGGCTTCTGGTGGCTTTTACTCGCTTTTGGTGGCTTTTGTTGGCTTCTGTGGGATTTTGGTGGCTTCTGGTGGCTTTTGTTGGCTTCTGATGGCTTTTAGTGGCTTCTGGTAGCTGTTGCTCGCTTCTGTTGGTTTTTGCTGGCTTCTGTTGGCTTTTGGTGACTTGTGTTGACTTTCGAAGGCTTCTGTTGGCTTTTGTTGCTTTTTGCTTTTGTTGGCTTCTGGTGGACCAGAAAAAAATTCCAAAAAAAAACGGAAACAAATTCCTAAAAAAAAACGCGGCCGAGTGATGACTGTAAAGGTCATCAAGAAAACAAGAAGCTCTTGTGATTTCATCCAATGAGACTTCTTTATAGTTTCAGCGAGCAGTGATTTGATCATAAACGCTTGGCCGTTGTCCCTTAAGGTCTATTGGAATGCATGTTGCTTTGTTGATCAACGGTTTTCCCAGTTATGAGGTTGTGAAACACCAAGACTGTTTGGAGCTACATGTGCAGACCCCTTCCGGAGTCTAATTGTCGGTCCAAGCGCTAGCCGCTCCAGCCGTTGCAGACCCTAAATGGGATGATCTCCAGCTTGAGACGTCAATCGCTTTTTGCAGCGGCCTGCAACTTCCGCTCTTTTGGTCACCGACACGCAGCCAGCTCATGGGCTACTGCGTTGAAGGTGATGGCCAATGAAAAGGTGGAAGCAGGCACTGCCCATTATGTTTGCCCTTGTCAGGGAGATTGCTTACGCGCAGCTGAAAAAGCTTTACACCATGCACCTCACTGCAGTGGAGTGAACCTGTTAGACAAAAGGTCGCTAGTTGCAACAGCTAGTGTTTTTGTCAACACTTTGAGGGGAGTGCATCAAAGAAACTGCACGGATAATGCCTTGGAGCCCTCTCAATTCTTAATCATGAGTTGAACGCGCGTACGTGGCAGGGACAAGTACAGCTTTCCATTTGATATCTCTTGGATATCTTATCTCTCTAAGTCAAAACGGATGGCAACATCATAGTATGCAGAGGGCACAGCATGGGACACTACGCAAAACAATCAACATACCTGGAATGTGCAGGTTGGCAGTCTTTGAGGCAACTTTGTTTCGTCATACTTCGTTCATATTACTCATATGCCCCATTTCCACACAAATAATTGCAGGATGGAACAGGCATATACAATGATAATAATGCTTTTGCATCCAGGCCCTTTTCTTCCAATGACCTTTGATTGAAGCTCAGCTCTGAACCCAGGTCCTCGAGAGCACTGACCGGACGGGATTGAGTGGCTCAGCTGAAGTTCCGAAGATGTTCCAACTGAACCAGATTAGAGTGAGGGCAGGGTGGGTTTCCTGATGTAGTTTAGATGAGGATTGATACTAGACATGCAGTTGGCCCCCAATGCAACATGCTCCTCCAGCATAGTGATGTTACTTTTGCTGCATCATCCTGTATCCATTAGGTCAGGAAGAGTCAGAGGAGTCCCGGCCTAAGTTCTGCTAACTGCTAACAATTCAATTCCATCAAAGCACAGCTTTTGACCTTTAAACTTTGACCAGACTGCGGATGACTTCGCCACCACATAGAACCACCAGATGAGAACTGATATACTTGCGATTGAGAACCTGGCTGCATGGACATCGCCCAGTTTGGATGGTTGTAGATGCTTGTTTGCCCGGACAGCTTGTTTTGAAGTTGCTGCCAATGCTGCCCCGTTACAAAGTGCCGGTTTCAGGTTACTGGGTGCAGGTTTAGAATCTCTCAATGTCAGGGAATGTTGTTGCGATGCACGGTGACACCTGTTTCGCCTGTCTCGCGAAAGATTCCGGCTCAATGCAGTAGATGTAGCGGCGGCTCCCTGCCCGTGAGTTGGGCAGGCTGCGGCTTTCTTTTTTTTCTAAATGAATCGGTGGACGAAGCTAATGTAGCAGCTGGTGCTTTGTGCCTCAAGTAGCATCAAGACAGCAGGCAAAAGTAGGTCAGTGCATTCAGTTGGCATGTGCTAGGGGAGAGGACATTTAGTCTTTCTGATTCCGGGCTCTAAATACCATGAGTGCTCTCTCAAACTGCAGTGACATGGTACTCAGGAGGTTCTTTCAAGAAGAGGATGCAAAAGGGCTTTGGACAGACACGCAATTGCGTGGTGGTTGGCTTGAGCTTTGTCAGAGTGGTTGGCCAAGGAGGCTTTGACAGACCCCACACATACTTCCACAGAGCTGAAGCTGCCCGAGCATGCTTGATCATAGCCGTTCTTTGTGTGAACCTGTTGAACACAGACCTTTGAGGCCGGCCGGCTACCTTCATGGTGCACTTGCCTCCGTTGGGGTTTGGACCCAAGATGTTTCTCTCAGGATGACCCAATTCATGCCCGTGCATATGGACCCGTGGTGCTGCTTCATACTTCGAAGGTGTCCACACAAGGCACAGGTTCGTGACAGCCATGATCATGGTTAAAACCTTTTCCGTTTGGAAAGCGAGGCAACACGGTAAGAATGACACATCGTTCAATCGTCAAACTGGTGCTGATGTGAAGGAGAAAAAACACACTTTGTCCACGAGATGCCTTCGATCCCGAAACAGCTTGAACACGTTTAATGTCCGTTGCTGTGCTCCTGACCATTTGGCCCCACGAGTCTCTTAGGCGGTCCGAGGACGAGAAAGCCGTGGGGCCAGTGAGTCCAAAGAGTTTCTCCAATGCCATGTGCTCAGCGTTGGCGCTGAAGTGCGTTGGTGGTGAAGTGCGGAGTTTCGGGGGTGGAGGCCCTGACTGACACACGCCAGAGACTATATGACATATAGTAGGGTTTTGTTTGGACACTGGGAAAGGTCACCTTCCGCCTCTCAGCAAAAACGCTATGTATATTATTCTTTGATCGAACGTTGAATTGAAATTTTTGAGCAATTCCCAGGTCATTGAAGCCATTGGCTTTGGGATTCCTCAGGCGCAAGGGGTGAAGGTCGCGCGCGCTTGGCGTACGTGTGAAGACATGTCTAGCCCCGATGCTTTGTACCCTGTGGGTGAGTGAAACGTACACGTGCTGTTTTGGGAATGGCTTGGCTGTGAATCAAAACCTCCACCAAAGCATGGTAGGTTGACATCCCTTATAATATACAGGAACCTGTTCGCCTTTTGCACACACGACATCACCCCATGGTGTTGACCGCCCGCATTCCACGGTCAAAAGAAAGGAAAGGAAAAAGATCACCAGCAATAGTAAAACCACATTGAAACCTGATGTGTTGAGTTTAGCCACATGGGTTTAACCAAATTGAAGGAACTCACAGCAAACTCATGTGGTTAATGCACAGACGCGTCGGCAGATGTGCTCAGAACCCTGCGTCAAGCTCAGAGTTCGAAAAGTAGGGAGTGTACGAAACCATGAGAGACAAGGCCCAGGCCTGTTCATTTCTCAGGGATCAACAAGGCCCGGGCTTTGACCCTGTGCCACTTAAGTCTCTTGACGTCCCATGTGATTTTGGCGCCAATATATGCCAATATGAAACCGTGAGAAGCGTAGGAATCCGCATGCTCTGAGCTTTGGCAGTTGATTGTCGCGGCTCTTTGCGGCTTCATTTGGGCAGCCGATGGGGCTGAACTCCTGCTCTTGGAAAGCTGGGCTTCAAATCCGGCACTGTATGTGTTTTTCCCCCAAAGCCGATGTGTTTGAGAAGCAAGGCCTCTTGACGATGCACATTTGGGCAATTTTGGGCAAAAGCTTTGTTTTGCCAAAAAGCTTTGTTCAAGACAGGGGTAGTTGCCCTTTTTTTATGGCGCCAGGTGCTATAATATGCATAATATAGAGGAAGAGGTTTTGAAAATGGTTTTTCTGCTTGACTCGGATCCACAGATTCACACAGCCCACAGGAAGCATAGTGGCCATGGCCCTAAGAAGGGTCTTTGGTCGTCACGGTGCCCTGTAGTCACTTTCCGTTGACCCTTGAGCTCATTTTCCGTGGTTCCGATTTGGATGTAGCGGCTTTCTCCCAGATCTTCTAAGATGAGTATGATCCGACGAGTATTCCAGAGGGCTTCGGCATGTTTTGTGACTCTATGTGACTCTTCCTTCATCCAAGGATCTGTCACCCGATCCGCAGCTGGGCACAAATGGCATTTGCCACTAGACGGGTGCCAAGCATTAAATCGATCACGGTCCAATAAGACTGACAACAGGCCCTGCAGATGTTTCTCAATAGTATTCAATAGCACATTTGTCCTGCTGATGTTCCCTTCGAAGTGCAGGCCTTGCGGAGTGACACTGAGTGACACTCACAAGAGTGAGCTAAGGTCACCGATGAGCATCTTGATTTGCATTCGGGGTGGTTGCTCACCCGATGGAAGTGAAATTGGCGATGTATGACCGTCTTTCAACATCACCGGACGCGAGCGTCCTAGGTGGGCCTTGGAGGCATGGCAGCGAGGCGCGATTGTGTCGGTGGTCTTCATTGGCATCCTTCTAGGCCGGCTGAGCGAGCGTCGCTCACCAGATCGGGGCGTGTAAGATTTGCTTCGTGGGTCGGGATGAGATGAGCTTCGATTTGACATCTGACCAAGCGATCTCTATAGGAGAGTAATTTGATTTGCGGTTGAATCCGTGTCCTTCTTGCCAAATATGCTATGGTTGAGAAGTCTAACTTGCTTGAGAACAACCTGTTTCATTACTTCCCTGGTCCCTTTCGCCAGCATTTCCTAGCTCGCTCACACAATTTCTCAGGCAATACCATTGGCGGCCCGTGACTTGGTATCCACGACATGGCGGCAGCTAGACACGTGGGAACAGTTTGTTAATTGCAGGAGCGGTCAGTGATGCTTTGTCCGTTCTTACGCATTTTTTTCCGCAAAGTATCATCACACAGACACCGCGTCCTTGGCAGCCAGTCGATCTTACAAGGATCATGTTTTTGCATGTTTCTGCTGTTTCACCTGCTCGCTCGCGGGGAGAACTGTATATAAGCCTGTTAAACAGCCTTTCACTCGTACACTGGCTGAGGCTTGGCGACAGATTCTTGGCCGACACTGACTTTCTATTTTCTGCGCGTATTTTTAGCACAGGGCGAGAAAGAGTAAACTTGGCTGCCAAGCAGAGCCCCAGCCGTCACGAAAGGCCGTCGACAGTGAAGAACGTATCAAGCTCCGCCTTTTGATGAGGGACCCTCACTGGACAAGCGCAGATTGGTTCAAATCTCAGGTACTGGACGAAAGATCCCGGTACTTCTTTCTTTCCTTGGCATCGTGCTCTTCAGTGTCCTTTCGGCTTCCTGCACAGGAGGGCTCTTCAGTCAGGTTAGGCGGCATCCTGCTGCGTTAAGGTGACAGGTCGCAAACCTCACTGCACGACATGTTTTGGCACTATGCACCATCACCAGTTCCAACCACTTGCTGACATATCAATCAGTACAATTTGCATATATTGGGATGTACCCTCCTCTCTTTTCCCTGAATATTATCTATAAATATACACACGTAGTTTTTCGATATTTGTTTTTCTTATTTTTCTTCTCCGAGAATGTGCCTAGAAATTCGATTAAATCAATTAAATCTAAGTTGGAGCATGGACATTAATTGGCTTGCTCCAAGTGCGAGATGTTGCGGGAAGAACTTAATTCAGGGGGTTGGCCCTGGAGGAGGGGTAGATTGATTTGTTGAGCAAGCTTCAGGTTTGGGATGGTCTGGGAACATCACGGGGTCAGGCGGGATCCAATGAGACATGAATTTCCAAAGGCTTGCTAAAAGCCACATGAAGCTGACGGATAAACTGGCAAGACGCTGCGGGCATTTTGCGGGCTGTGGCTTTAGAAGCATTGGTGGGTGCCTCGCGATTAAGATCCTAAAAGCACTCAGGGAAATTACTCTCAATTATGCCCTTTATCTGATGGGGCTTCACCAGGGCGGCATCTAATGTAAGGGGACCATATATTATGAAGGCCTTGTTGTAATCACGAACATGTTCGAGTTCTCCAATTTTCCAGTTTTGGGATTTCTTGGACTCTAAGAATTCGGATCATTTTTCCATCATCGGACTGCAGGATGGACCAGTCCCGATGCCGTAGGGTCTGCCCATTGCCCCTCCAGGATTTTGGTCCCTCGCAGTGGTCCGGACCTTTGTGGGTGCCTCCTTTGGCCTCGGGCAGCCGGCGTCACTCGGAGAAGCCGTTGGTGTCCTTGGCGATTGAAAACTGAGATTCTGGGTGATGGTTGGCTGAGATCCTCCGTACTGCTTAGCATAGGCATAGCCCATTTGCATGTGTATACATTATACATACATATACTTCGTATTCTGCGGGGCTCAAAGCCGGTTCAGAGCTTGAAGTTGTTCATTTTCTCTGGATGTGTGTTGCTTTCGCTTGCCGTGTTGGCTGATTGGCTTCTTGTGAAGGTTTGCGGCCTTTCTTAGCAGTTCTGCTAAGGACGATGTCCCTGATGAAAGAACCTCAGCCTGAAAGACTATCGCGTGTGGACGGTTTCCATGTCCAGGTTTCCCTTTGAGGTTGCAGAAAGGCACAGCTTGTAGAGGTCCTGCAGTTTTTTTGGGCTCCTTGTGTTGAGCATTTCGTGTGCGCTTAAGGACATCACACCGTCAAGGCTGGAAGGGTTTGCTCGGTGGAGTCGAACCAGCGTCCATCAAGGACATCATGCTTCCCCAAGCGGCCAAAGAAAGAAAGACGCGTGGAATTTGTTGAATCGCTTGGACACATTGCTTCAGTGGGAGGCTTTTTCTTCTGTCTTTGGATAATTCATTTCAGGTTAGCTGACAAGGGTCCAGTCTTGACGGATTGTGTCCAGCACAAACAATTTATATACAGCAGAAGTGGCACAGCGAGGGTGATCCATCAGCATTCACACTCTGGGCCCAGAGCTTCGTGCAAGGTGGCAGCTCTTTATTTTTGCCCTTGTGATTGGCGTGCACCTTGCCATGCAAGTGCAGTGCAGAGGTGATGTTTCACAGTCGTAAGTGCGGCTTAAGTGCAACTTCTTGACTGCATGTGCTGGTTATACTAATGCTACTCACTTCTCCCCCGCCTGCCCCTGATTGGATATGACCGAGCATGAAGGCATAAAGTATAGTATAGGCATAGTCATAGTTATTCTGTTCAGTAATCTCGAATCATTCAAGGCAAAGTCTTGTAACATGCAATGGCTGGCTGAAACTCTCGGCAGAATGTCAGCAGTGCATCTCAATACTCTCATTTGATCGGGAAAGAACCAAAAAAAGATACCCATGTAAATGTGTTGGTTGCCGTCTTGGCCAGATACGATGAGGCCATTCCCTTGTGGTGAGATCTATAGCGCATCTCTCATTTGGCCACTTGGCAGCGACACTTTTGCATCCTGATTTCCTGATCATTTGGAGTCTCACCGCTTTGCGAAAAGCGGGGCCCCTAAGGCCCCGGAGCGCATTCATATGTTGACAGAGTCACGGGGCGCCATCGGTGGCACCCAGGTACAATGACCCCAGTATGAAGGAGCTGGACTGGCGTCTCCTGGCTGCCTCATTGCCACAAGCACGACTGAAAGAGCCTGCTGTTCGTTGCGGTAGCCTTCAAGTCCTATTGGCGGCATTTCATCATGTTCATCGCTGTTTGGATTGGACTGTGCAGCCAGGTTGGCTTTGCATCATGGGCGCAGTGCCATCCATCTTTGGCTTCGTGCTGTCGTACTCTTTCATGAAGGACGGCCTCCAGCTGGCCTGGGCCCGCTCACCGGCAACGTGGGTGAAGGCACACGTTTTTTGTTGCTTTGGGTGCCCTGATAAGATGGTGGCCCTGTGATATACTATGACCTTGGTGTTCTCGCAACACATAACACACACACACATTTCCATTGCGACCTTATCGTGGCCCGCTATTTCTCGATCAGCCGGCCGGCCGGCCGGCTGACCAACGACCGCGTCGGCTATTACTACCACCACCACCACCACCACCACTACGACTACGACTACGACTACTACCACTACTACCACTACTACTACTACTGCTACTACTGCTACTACTACTACTACCACTACTACTATTACTACTACTACTACTATTACTACTACTACTACCACTACTACTACTACTCCTACTACTACTACTACTATTACTACTACCACTACCACTACCACTACTACTACTACTACTACCACTACCACCACTACCACTACCACTACCACTACCACTACCACTACCACTACCACCCACTACCACTACCAACCACCACTACCACTGCCACTACCACTACCACTATCACTACCACTACCATGACGACGACGACTACTACTACTACTACCACTACCACCACCACCACGACGACGACGACTACTACTGCTACTACCATTACCACTACCACTACCACTACGACTACTACGACTACCACTACCACTACCACTACTACCACTTCATGGCCGACCGGCTGGCCGCTATGGCCCGCCGGCCAGCCGGCGGATCCAGCGGCCAGCCGGCGGGCCGGCCGATCCAGGGGCCAGCCGGCCGGCCGGCCGCGGAAGAAACCGCCACTAGTACTACTACTACTACTACTACTACTACGACTACTACTACTACTCCTGCTGCTGCTGCTGCTGCTACCACTACCACTACCACTACCACTACCACTACCACTACCACTACCACTACGACGACGACGACGACTACTACTACTACTACCGCTGCTACTAGTACTACTACTACTACT